AGGTTACACAGCAGTAAATGTCTGAGGTTACATTTGAACTCAGGTCTTTGTGACTCCAGGCCCAGTGCTCTACCTACCCCACTGTACCACGGAGCTGCCAAGTGGACACAGGCCCTTCACTAAACACCTCTGTACCTAAGTTTATTTATCTATAAAAGGAGTTTAGGTTACGTGGATCTCTGAAATTCTCCTTTCTAGCTCTAATTGCCTATGAATAATATCCTTAGACAAGGACCCTACCCTCAAGAACCTTCTATCTCGGGGGCAGCTAGGTGGTGCAGTGGATAGAGCACTGGCCCTTAAGTCAGGAGAACCTGAGTTCAAATTTGACCTCAGACCAAACACTTGACACTTACTAGCTGTGTGACCCTGGGCAAGTCACTTAACCCCAACTGCCTTACCAAAAAGCAAAAAAAGGAACCTTCTATCTCTCTTCACTTTCAAACTACTTGAAAAAGCTCTATTCCTTGCCTTCAGTTCCGAATCACAAGCCTGCCTATTGGACTTTTTTGAAATGAATGTTCTGCAAGGATCCACAAGCCCCAAAGAGAACTCAGTCCCTTCTGCCCAAGCACACTTGAACTTAACTATGGCTACGTAGGGTACCCTCCCCCCCACCCCCTTCAAGCATACAGGCCTGAAACTTCATCATCATCCTTGACTCTTCACTTGTCCCAGGTGACCAATCATTCTCTGTAACATCTCTCAGACAGGTTCTCCTTCTCTCTCTACTCATACAGCTATCATCAGCATTCAAGTCCTTCCCTCACCTCTCACCTAAATAACTGGTTTCCTTCCCAACTCTCTCTGCACTCCAACCCATCCTCCACACAGCTGCCAAAATGATTTTCTTAAGTTCAGATCTGACCAGGGCAGGTAACACAACACACACACACACACACACACACAACACACACACAAAATCTCTCTCTTCCCCCCCCTTCCCCACACACACATACACAACACACACACAAAATCTCTCTCTTCCCCCCCCTTCCCCACCCCACCCCGCAAGTGGCTGTCTATTACTTCTAGGTTCAAACATAAACTTTTCTGTCAAGTGTTTAAAACTTTTCACAATCAGGACCTATTCTACCCTTCTTAAACATTAAACACACTTGATGGTCCAGTCAAATTGGCCTAAGACCACACCACCAGATTTGGCAATTAGATCACTGTTAACTTTAGAGAGATGTTTGGAGTCAAAAGGGACAAAATGAAATGGCATGAGGAGTGGGAGAGGAGAGGAAATTAAGGCACCTGGTTCAGATAGCTTAAGAATTTTGGCTGAGAAGTAACTAATTGGGAAGCTCTAATGGTAGAGCCTAGTGAAGGACTTCTAAAGATGGAACAGACCTGGGCATAGGCATTAGGCAAGCAGTTTGAAGGCAGTAGTAAAAAGGAAAAGGGTAAAGACTAGACAGAGGAGGCTGACAAATGAGAAGCAATTAGCTGGAGGGCAAAGGATGGGACAAGGGCACACATGGAGGTTAAGCCTTGGGGAAAGGAGCCACCTCATTAGCAGAGAGTAGAGGAAAGGAAAAGAGAACAGAGGATGATGTCAGGTGGCTTTAAGAAGAGAGGGGAAGGAGAAGAGGTGAGGGAACTCACAGCAAATGGCCTCAATTTTCTAAGTAAAGAGGCAAAGTTGTCATCTGAGAGAGGAGGAGAGGAAGGTCTGGAAGACCTGAGCAGAGATTTGATGAGGACTGTGAGAGGAAATTCATTAGTAAGAAATAAAGAGGATTGCCTTGCTACAGTGAGGACTCAATTGAGGTTAGATAACAAATATGTGTAGGCCACACCTTGGTCAGCCCAGTTGTATGACTCCTCTAGCTTTATTCAGCAGCATGTAAGAGGGACTGCAGTAAATGATGAGAGGAATACAAGTCTGGGGTTTGGTACGGAATGAACAACGAAAAGACAAAGGGCCCAAATACTGAGGTGATGAGGGCATGAAACTAGGATGGTGGCTAGGAGTGGAAATAAGAGGAACAGGGATGCTAGGTGGCGCCATAGTACACTGAGAGGGGAATCAGACTCATCTTTTTTTTTTTTTTTAAGGCAACTGGGGTTAAGTGACTTGCCCAGGGTCACACAGCTATTAAGTGTAAAGTGTTTGGTCTGAGGCCTGATTTGAACTCAGGTCCTCCTGACTTCAGGGCCAGTGCTCTATCCACTGCGCCACCTAACTGCCCCTGAAAGACTCATCTTGCTGAGTTCAAATCCAGCCCCCACACACTTACTAGCAGTGTGACCCTAGGCAAGTCACTTAACCCTGTTTGGCTCAGATCTTCATCTGTAAAATGAGCTAGAGAAGGAACTAGCAAACCACCCCAGTACCTTTGCCAAGATAATCCCAAATGTGATCACAAAGAGTGGGACATGAATGAAACAACAACAAAGGAGAAGACCTGAAAGAGAGTATGGAAGTAAAAGTCAATGACGACTCCAAGGTGGAAAACATGGATAACTAGAAGGAATGGATTCTGTTTTAGACATGCTGATTGTGAGAGTCTTACAGGACATTCAGCTTGAAATGTCTAATACAGCTGGTAACAGAGACACTCAAAAGAGAAACCAGGGCTAGGTAGACCTGAGAGTCATCTGCATAGAGATGACTTACAAAGTCAAATTCACCACCTTATGTTAGTCTCAATTTCACTGTGCTTGTATCAGACGTCTATCTAATGTTTTTATTGCTGTCTCTCTTGCGTATTTTTTCTCAAGAATTACTGGTCTTTTCTGCTGTTATGAACAACATCAGCATTTACATAGTGTTTTAAGGTTTTCAAATCACTTTACAATTAGCATCTCATTTTATTCTCACAACAACAGGTGAGGAAACAGAATGAGAGGTACCTGCTCAGGGTTCACACAGCCAAATGTCTTGAGGTGGGATCTGAACTCAGGTCTTTCCCATTTCAAGTCCATTGCTCTCTATCCACTGCATGCACCACCCTGCATGCCTGTTACTTATCTTCCTATATTGCACTACTAGCTGTATTTCCTATAGTAGCTAGTTAGCTAGGCTGATACACATGCAGTCATCTCCAAATGAATGGCAGATACAGTGAAAGGAGAAATCCACTGCAGGATACAGAGATAGGATAATACCTCACAGGGATAGGTCTTAAGTTGAGCACTAATGAGTGGCAGTGCCCTATAATGTATAAAAAATAAAAATAAATAAAAATTTTTAAAAGACAATGGATTTAGAGACAAGAGAACAGTTGTGTGACCTTGAGTATACACATATATACATATAGCTAGTAAGTATATACATATACACACGTATATATGTGTACATATATTCGACCATATATACATGAACATACACACACATATATTTTATATATATTACACTCTATAAGTCTCAGTTTCCTCACCTCACCAAATGACCTCTGAGGTATTTCCCCAGGTTTAAAGATCTAAACATGGACCTCAGGATGATCTGTGATCTCCTTCCCATTTCTGCTTAAAATTCTCTTATTCAGGTGTGATAAGCCTCTAGGCAAAAAATATTTTTCTAGTTCTCCTTAGCTATGAAACTCCATCTCTAGCCAAAAGCCCACTACACCACTGTCTGAAGATCTGGAACTCATTCATCTCTATGTTCTAAACGCCCTCCGAGCTCTGACACTGTGTTCTAATTTCTCTCCTGGCTGGGTCGTTCAATGCTCTGAGGCTTCTAGGCTTGCCGACTGCAGAATGGGTAGGAACGAGGGAACGAGGGGCCGTGGTCCCGAGGGATCAACGGTGGCTGCTGGACGTCTGGGCAGGGCAACCTTGGGGCGCTCGTGGCGCGGGCAAGTCCAGGCGCAGAACTGGAACCATCGGCCCCCAAGCGCCCGGGGCCGCCGGGGACTCTCCCCTCCCACCGCCTTCCTCCTCCCGCGCCCCCCGCTGAGGGCCACCTGGCCGCCATGGTTAATCCGCTAAGGGACCGGAGTCCTCGAGCCGGTGAGAGCGGGACGAAGTCCCCAGAAAGACAGCGGGAAGGGGTCGACCGCGCCCCGCCTCCCCCACGAAACACTGACCCGATATTCCCCGACGGGGGAGGTTCCGCTTGTAATCGATGGGACCGTAGCCCCCTGGCGGGGGCATGTCCTGTTTCACCTTGGATGCCGCCATCTTGCCGGCCCAAGGCACTTCCGACCGCAGAGACCTAGAGGAAAGAACCCGGAAATGGCGTCAAGGGGCGCGAGCACGCTCCGCCATCTAAAGAGTGGCGGAAGCTACCGTAGAAGCGGTTCTTAAAGGGACGGACGCTCCACTTAGGGGAGGGGAGGGTGGAGCAAGAAATACACCCACCAGCACCTCTCCTGCGCTCGCGGGAGGGAAGGGCTGGCCAGTAATTAATATATGGCTTTTGAGTAGCGTTTTAAATTTTGCAAAGCACTTTTATCTGATTTGGAAGCAGCTCTGTATAACTGGGTTAGGGGTCTTAAGTGGTGCCCAAGAACACCCTAGGAGTTAGCGCACCCGGGATCCAGTCCCAGATCTGCACCATCGTTGACCTCGACCCCCCACCGGACAAGTTTTAGTTCCTTTTAGTTTCCTCATCAGTAAAACAAGGGGTTGGATTAGCCAGCTGGTCTCTAAGGTTACTCTCCAGCTCTGAACAGGCTTTTAAAGGTCAAGGTCCAGCGCCTCCTGCCCCATCGCTTGCATCGTGCCTACCGAGGCCGCCAGGGGGGGGTGCTGCCTCATAGTTACCCAGCCTGGGGATGCGAGTGAAGTAAGGGAGGGATAACATTCCCAACACCCCTCGAAGGCCCAGTTTATCAGTGGGACCCAGCCTCTTAGGTCCAACCAGGCTCCAGGTCTAGTCGTCTTGCCATCTCTTACTCCAGCAGCATCTCTATCTCCCCTGGTGCGCCCCTTCTACCCACGTCACAAACCTGGCCCCGGCGTGCAGAGCTAGGAAACATGCGGCAGCCTCTCTGGCGCCCGTGACGCCCCCAGTCACTTCACAAGGCGGAAATTGTTACCTGGGCGATAAAGGGCGGCGGGGGGCCCCGGGGCAGGAGTGGGCACATGGGGGTCAAGGTCTGTGGGTGCCAAGCGCCATGGGTTAAGCCCCAAATCGAAATTCGGAAAACCCTCCCGACGCTCTCGCCCCGTCCATCATGTCTGGAGACAAACTCTTGAATGAGCTGGGCTACAAGCTGGGCCGCACCATCGGGGAGGGGAGCTACTCCAAAGTCAAGGTGGCCACCTCCAAGAAGTACAAGGGCACGGTGGCCATCAAGGTGGTGGACCGACGGCGAGCCCCCCCGGACTTTGTCAACAAGTTCCTGCCCCGGGAGCTGTCCATCCTGCGCGGCATCCGCCACCCGCACATCGTGCACGTCTTCGAATTCATCGAAGTGTGCAATGGAAAGCTGTACATCGTTATGGAGGCCGCCGGCACCGACCTACTGCAGGTGGTGCAGCGCAGCGGGCACATCCCGGGCGCCCAGGCGCGCGAGCTTTTCGGCCAAATTGTGGGCGCCGTGCGCTACCTGCATGACCACCATCTGGTGCACCGCGACCTCAAATGCGAGAACGTGCTGCTGAGCCCCGACGAGCGGCGCATCAAGCTCACGGACTTCGGCTTCGGACGCCAGGCGCACGGCTACCCGGACCTCAGTACCACCTATTGCGGCTCTGCCGCCTACGCGTCTCCCGAGGTGCTCCTGGGCATTCCCTACGACCCCAAGAAGTACGACGTGTGGAGCCTGGGCGTCGTACTCTACGTCATGGTCACCGGCTGCATGCCCTTCGACGACTCGGACATCGCGGGCCTGCCCCGCCGCCAGAAGCGCGGCGTCCTCTACCCCGACGGCCTCGAGCTGGCCGAGCGCTGCAAGGCGCTCATCGCCGAGCTGCTGCAGTTCAGCCCATCCGCGCGACCCTCCGCCGGCCAGGTTGCCCGCAACAGCTGGCTGCGCGACGAGGCTTGCTAGCGCCCACCCTCGCGGGGCCCTTCAATCTCCTCCTCCTCCTCCTCTTCCTCCTCCGTTCTTCCCAGGCTACCTGACCCTCACCCCCGACCCCGCAAAGGGGGAGCGGCACGAGGGCGCCTGGCGCCCAGGGGAGAGGAGCAGGAAGCTCTCTTGACCTCATCCCCTCCATCCCTTTTCTTCTTTCTTTCCTGCCCCCACCCCAGTCTAGGGGCGTGCGACAGGGGACCGGCCCTTCCTCACGGGACCCGGCGTTAGTAGGTGATTGGGGGTAGGTTAGGGGTGGGTATAGAAAGGGGCATGACCAAGAGGCTAGGGACAGAGCGAGAGAAAAAGGGGCGGGGGGGTCCAGCCGCGCAGAAAGCCCGGAAGAAATGGAAGTGCCATCACCACTCCGGGCAGGAGGGAGATGCCAAAGCCCGCAAAGCCCTTACTCAAAAGTGGAGCGAAGTCATGAGACCTCGAGGCGCCCCACTGTTGGCCGAGACCGGCGCTGGCCCTCCCTCCACCCTGCTGGACCCGACAATAAACTCGCTCTCTTGCTAGCAAACCCTGACTCCGGTGTCTGGACTGGAAGGGGGTGGGGGAGGGAATGTATTCTGGGGAGGCGGGGCAGGGGCAGAAGCGATTTTTGCCGCCCCACCCCTTTCTCTCTCGCCTTTCTGCTCAACTCCAACCTCTCCTCTAGCCTGTGATCCTCCCGCCTGGGAGGAAAGGGTGTGGGGGGGGGAAGGTGAAGCGAGGAATTTGAAGTTTAAACCCCTGGGCATCCAAAGTAGGCCCCTTCCATGTACTTAAGGCTTTTTAGAATCCCCGCAACCATCACAGTGCCCTCTTACAGGTCGGGAGCAAGTTAGGGGTAAAAAAAGAATGGAAATTTACTAGCCAGTGGGGGAAGGGAATGAAAGGGAAGGGTGGGGCGGAATGACCTCAGCTGGGGCTCTGTTCCCTAGGGCTCTTCCTGCCCCTCCTCCCAGGAGACCAGGAGCTCCGGAAGCCAGATGTGAGATGGCCAGTATCGTAAGAACTGGATGTCTAACAGTAGGGCAGGGCACTGGAAAAAAAAAAAATGTTTGCCCTAGGTTTGGAGGAGGAGAGAGCAGGAGAAGAAGCTAGTAGCCCTGGTTTAACTCGGCTTAAAAGCCCTAAGCCAAGTAACCACCTTTACCTGTTTACTACCCACACTTGAGGTGAGCAACCAAGCTTAGAAAGGCCTTATGTAGCCCATCCAGGTGGAAGGCTAGACTCTGAATAAGCTAGGGTTTCCCAACTTGCTGGGCTGGGAGGCCAGGCTCAGGGCTTTGAGAGATGACACAAGGTTTAGGGAGATCACCCTGGGCCTGTTTTCTCAAATAAGAAATGTCAGAATTAGACTAGATCATGTCTAAAACTCCTTCAGAGCTCTAATGCCTATAATAGGCAGGGAGGAAGGAAAAAGCCCTGCAGAGAGCATTTGTACTGCATCTCTTTGGACCATTTCTAGGATTGCCAGCCCAACTCAGGGTCTTCTAGATTTAGGGGGAGAGCCTTAGAGTCCTCTATATTCACTAGAAAAGGGCAGAAAAGAAGTGAGTTCCCATGGCAACCAACAATCCCCTTTTGGCCAATCACCGCTAGATATTTATGGGACACCTACTGTGTTTTATGCTAGGCACTAGGGAAACAAAGCAATATGAACCCTGCTTCCTGCCGGCAGTGAATCAAGCGCTAAACAAGTGTGTATTTAGCAGTGTGCTAGATGTTGGGATTACAAATGCAGAAGTGACAGCCCTTGCCCTCTGGGAGTTTGAATTTTAAGCACATGCTTTAACGGAGCTTAAACCCCACTACCTAGGTAAGTTTACTTCCCACACTTGAAGCCTCTAACCAGGCTTGGGCAAAGCCTTATAGCCTATCCCTGTCGAGGGCTTAGACCCAGGCTGCAAAAACTAGGGTTTCCCCACCTGCTAACTGACAAATAAATGCAGGATATATGCAAAATAATTACACGGTGATGAGGGGTACTAACAGTTTGGAAGAATTTGGAAAGTCATCTCATAGGAGATAGCAGTAAAGCTGAACCTGGAAAGTATTCTGGGGGGGGAGGGGTAAGAGGCAGAGAAGTGAGGAGGAAGAGCACTGCAAGTACAAGGGTGAGGGAGAGAAAAAGAATTTATACAGAGAACAGCAAGTAAAGCCAGTTTAGCTGGAGTGTAGGTATATAGCCCAAGAGAAATTTGTGATCCAGAGCAAGATGTCCTGACACCAGATCTATGAATGATTTTTCATGCCAGAGTAAGCACTTAAATGCATCTTGACTTGATGGAGGCCTGAGTAGAAACGTTGAGGATATGAAATTGTCAAGACTTAGCAATTGATTAGATGCAGAGAGGTGAGAAAAGGTGAGTCAAGTTTGACTCCTAGCTTTCACCCCTGAACGTTTGGAAGAAAGGTGGTGATCTGAACAAAAACAGAAGTGAGGAAAGAGGGGGAGACGGTTTAGGGGGAAAGATCACGGTCTCGCATATGTTGAGTGTGAGATGTCTATGGGGAAGGCATACGGGTAGAGATCACTAACAGGTAATTCGTGATGTGAAACAGGAGCTCAGGAGAGAGATGAGGGCCAGATATGTAGATCTGGGAATCATCTGCATAGAACTGACAGCTGAAACCTGGGAACTGTTGAGAGAATGTGTATAGAGAGAAGAGCAGGCCCAGCAGGTGAGGTTTTACCTTTGAATAGGGGACCAGGTGTAATGTACAAATAACAACTCTAGTACATATTCTGCTCCCCTCTTTGCAACCCTACCCGGTAGGTAATGCAGTTGTCATTAGCTCCATTTTACAGATCAGAAAAACAGGGCCACAGAAGCTTCCACAGTAAAGCATGAAAAATAGCAGCTCACATTTTTCTGGTACTTTATGGCTTATGAAGCACTTAGAGGCAATAGCACTGAATTTGAAATCAAAAGGCCTGAGTTTTCATTTTCACTTGAGAGACTGCATGACATAGCACAGGATTTGGAGTCAGGAAGACCCCGGGTTCACATGGTCCTCAGACACTAGCTGCCTGACCCTCAGCAAGTAACTTAACCTCTCTGTGACTCAGTTTCCTCATCTGTAAAATGAGTTTAGACCTGGTGGCCTCTAAATTATTTCCTAGTTCTAAATTTATGATTTTCCAAGTCTCTGAAATCTATGATTGCTGAGTCTACCTGTGTGATCTTGAGCAAGCCCTTCCACATTTCCTCATTTTTTTAAAAATTAAAGGATGTGGGTCTGTGTGGCCTTTTAAGGTTCCTTCTAGCTTTAAATTTCTTATCATACCGCTAAGGTTCCTTTCCTACTTTTAAAATTCTAAGTAGTTGCTCAGGTTCACACAGAGCTAGGGTAGAATTAGAAATCTAGTCTTCTGATTCTAAGACCAGTGGGTGTTCTGGGGCTATTTGACTAACCCCATTATTTTTCTGCACTGACACAATTAGGTAGAAAGGATGCCTATAGAGGAAGATCATACATAGGACCCTTATATTGTTAGCCAGTTCAGAAGAGAGAATCCAATCACTGTACCATGAGTCTCTGGTTCCCATTGGCTTTTAGAGGTGAGATTTAGATCCAGTCTTAACAAGTGGAGAGGCAAGAACTGGTGAGTAGAAAGGCTAAGGCATGAGAGCAAATGCCCAAATCAAGGAGATAGCAGAGAGGACAGTTTAACTTGGAGTAGAGGGAAGCTATAGGAGATAAGGCTAGAAAGGTAGAAAGGAAGGCTGTAAAGGGCTTTGAAGACCAGGCCCAAAGTGTTTTTGACTAAAAGGTTGATGTAGGGGCAGCTAGGTGGTGCAATGGATAGAGCTGTGGCCTTGGAGTCAGGAATACGTGAGTTCAAATCCAGTCTCAGACACATGATACTAGCTGTGTGACCCTGGGCAAGTCACTTACCCCCAATTGCCTAAGCAAAAAAAAAAAGAATAGTTAAAAGGTTGATGTAAGTAATGTGGAATCACTGAAGCTCTTAGGAGTGAGATATATGCAAAATTGTTTTAGGCTAATTCATTTGAGAGACTGTATAAACTGGTTTGGAAGGGGAAAAGGCCAGTTAGGAAAATCATTAGAATGTAAGCTCCTTGAGGACAGGGACTATCTTACTTTTGTGTTTTTATCCTCAGAGTCTAGTGCATAGTACACTTGGCAACTGATTAGATATAGCACCTAAAATTGATTGATTTATAAACAATACCTTTTCTCCCCTACACCAGAGGTTCTTAACCTTTTTTGTGTACTGAACTCCTTTAGCAATCTGGTAAAGCCTATGGACCCTTTTCAAAACAATGTTTTAAAATGCAAAATACACAGGATGGCAAAAGAAACCAATAATATTGAAATGCAACTATTAAAAATTAAAAAAAAATTCATGGCCCTGGTGGATGTCTAATAATGTTTACCAGGGTTCTCCCCAGATGGGTCTCAGTCTGGCCCAGATCATGGCCTCCAAGAGGCCTGAAATGCTGAAAGAAGAGGCCATCTGATAGGAAAGATCCTCAGAGAGACCAAGGGCCCATAGGTGACAGGTAGAAGACCCAAGATTCGAACCCATGCTTGCTGACTCTAAAAACCAGTTTTTCTTCCACTGTACCACATTGACTTTTGGGGTCTGGAGGAGTATCCATATTTATGCCCATCTGTAACACACACTTCTTATAAATTGAAATGGATCGTTTTTTTCATTTCAAGTGTTCACAATGCAAATTCTAACTTCAACCTGCTATTTGTTTTGACTGAAAGAAGATTAGAGCTGCTTCTCAGGCTCACAAAACCAAGGAGATGGTCAAGGCCCAGGAGCTGAGGGCCAGGGAAGGACTAGTCCCAAGATGGCCACCTCTATGTTCCTCCCCATGTTCCCAAGCTCTCTGGCCTTTTTCTCAATCCTATCCTCAAGAGTGAATGTGATTCTTTTTTCCTAGCGTGCTGCCTAGGGATGACTTGGCAGGGGGGAGGGTGCTTTGCTCCCAGCTGCTCCCATGCAC